GAGGACGATCACATAATTTACACAGTATTAAAATCCGACAATTATCTCGCCAACGCGCCGGGACGAGAACTCCACGGCTGGAAATATATAAATTTAAAACACGGTCGAATGTATCAGCTTCCACCTGTTCCTCTCCTGTCCATTCCCGAGTTTGTTACGTCATCGGCGAAATCGTTATCGGGTATAGTTGCCGATCAATTTTACAGAATCGAGTCACGTTTTAGTTTCGTTAGAAGTTTACTTCGTGGAAGATTTTGTTTGCGTTGTCGCTTAGAGCTCCGTCTCCTCGAGGACGCGCCGAGGGCGCGCCCGAAAATGCTCCGTGGAAAATTAAAGTCGCGTCTCCCATAGCGCGTCGCCGGCGGAAGGAAGAAAAATATATTCTCATCGGATTGACTCGGCGCGCGACTCCCAGGCGAGAAGACTCGCCGCCGATTCGTTACAAAGGAATCCCCGAGCTACTTGAGCATCTACGCGCCCCATAAAAATGTGCACGGCACTTTATATCGAGCGAGACCGTTCCCACGACACCCCGTGCGTCTCTCCTATGGGAATATTTTATAGGGGTGAATTTGTATGTGCGAGCGCGCATACATGTGCCACGTGGTGCGTCAGTGTGCACGCGTACGTACGTGCGCGCGTGTGTACGTGCGTACCCCGCGAGGCTGGTTCTAACGGCGATCAGCGAGCAAGCCCCGCACTTTCATCGGTGACAAGTACCGATCCGAGCCGAGATGACGACGATGCACCCCAGTCTAGATTTCAACGCGTCTCTGACATCCGATCGAACGCTAATCGAAATTCTAGTCGCTAATTACAGGCCAGAACAGGAAACTCGAAGAGGCTTGACACTTGTTTCAACGAATGCATTATACTCGCCATCCGGTGTTTGATGAATAATGTTTAAACGGTCGATGTAGAAAACCGAATATGTGTAACGTATATATTAAAAACAACGATGCACAATGTATCGAAAGTGACTCATTCGCTGAAATTCCCGTTAAATTGTCAAATTGTATTTCCTAATCATTTTAATATACGTCATAAATAGAGGCCAGATTTCAGGCAAAATGCCTTTTGGTTTGTTATTTGGACATGCTAACGAAAATAAGATATAAATGCATATTGTAAGGAATGGAGCATTATGAGCTATACTTTATTTTGCCTAAGCGCCTAAAACGTTTGTAATCATGTTTGTTGCCCATTTCTTGATTTTTATGACTTAAACTTTAGTCTGTAGTTATAAATACAATGTGCATGATCATCGCGGGTATAATTTGTTTATTTTTCGTATCGTAATGGGAAGATATCGCTATGTTATACAAAATTAATCGGGAATACAAAATATGGCGGTATCATGAAACACATTATAATGATTTTAATCTTTATTAATGAGCTTTATTCACCGTTATCATTATCTATATAATTTTGGTTAAATCAGACTATCACACATTGATTCAGGTGCTTGCATTCTGATATATATGTATTTGCATATCTCAGAGACATTGAAATTCGATGCAAACGTTATATAAACGCGACTTGCAACTTTGAAGCGATATTATCGTGAGAACCATTTCAAGAAGCGATACATCTACAGCAGGGAAATGATGAGATTCCCGTTCGTACTTGTGGTTCTGTTGGCTCTCGTAAGTATTGCATTTATAAGTGATATTCGTCTTTGAAAAGATTCTCTCGAACTTTTACTTGGAAAATCATCTTCTCCTAGAAAACTTAGAGGTGTGAACTTTATCGATTCCGTCAGTTTCTCAGAGAGAAACCTGATATTACACATTTCATTCAATTAATTTTATTACGCGATATTCTATCTTGCTTTATAATATCGACTTCTTTTAAATTGATCAGAAGCCAATGTTCAATTAAATGCAGCAAAGCCATCCATGCGTTTTCTTTAATAATTGCGTATATGTCTCTTGTGTAAAGATTCTTTCAGACTTTTCTTTAAAAAATCATAGTTTTCAGGAAATGTGGATTTCTCCATTTTCGTCAATTTCTTCGGGAAAAACTTGATTGTGCGTTTCTTATCAAGTTTATGCAACTTTATTACGTGATTCTATTTCTTTTTATAATATCGTTGTTTCTCTTGATTAATTTCAGGCCGATATTTTGCCTAATGTAGCAAATGCATACTCGGACAAGGAAGAACAAAATCCTGCGAAAAACTTGCTATTGTCCATAATTTTAAATGTAAAACATTACGTATTAGAGGAAATGCAGCATATTAAAACGTTAGCAGCCATTGATATCGAACAATTTATTGAACGCGTGAATGAAACAGTGGAAAAGGTAAAATTTGGATAATATGAAAAAGTTATTTTTTTGAGAAATACGTTTATTAATAATAAAATCGAATATAAAATATTTATAATTATACGTAAATGAAATATAACAGTTATATACAATTATAAAACACAGTCCCGAATTCGTCGTAGAATCCGTATTTAAAAAAGAATTGACATTCTCCGGTCGAACCATATAGGCGAAAAATCAATCATATGAACATTCCTATTAAATATTCATCGGATTAGGTTTGAGGAATCGATTTAACAAAAATTTTAAACGGAGGTGAATTTGCTAATACTCAATAGAAAGTATGATATGTCTTAGGTGGTGTCTGATCTCTGTAATGTCATTTTTGCAAATTCATATTTACAGGCCCAGCTCGATATGGAACTGTTGAAAAAAGAATACACCCGAATGTAGCTACTTGCGATAAGATGAAAGATAACATAAATAACAATGCCATAAAAGTCATTCAAAGTTTCCAGTCCTTTATGCACAAAGTGGTCGACTATACTGACCAGGACTTGCGTTTAATGCTTTCCAACGGGAGCATGCTGATGAAGGAAATTCTGGCCGCAGAAGTGAGTAGTCCAACATGATTAGCATGTGCATGAATCGAAGTAACCGATAAAACGACAGGACAACAGACTTCTCTATTGAAAACGAGATAACGGAAGGAGGTCGCGAAATCAGCTTTCGAACTAGAAAATATATTTGTGCTAAATTGTCACATGTCTCCACCAAATGTTATGGTTTGTTGTAGAGCATCGACGAGGAACTGCGTCGCAAAATTGAAAAGTCCGTCGCGAGGTTGTTCCAATTCGGTATTTAGAGAAATTCGAAAAATGCGACATCCATTTGAACTTACTCAAGCAACATATCTCCGAAGTTTTGACCAGTTACACGCGATGCCTTCAGGAAAATAAATAATAATCTTTGATTACCATACTGTCGGAACAATGGCTCGCTGATCAACGAACAATTCCCGTGGTTACATTAAGAGATAGTCATCGGTTTTACTTTATAATAAATTGATTATTTTATTATTCGCATTACTTATTTAACATCATAAAATAACACGAGAGATATATAGTCGGTTTCAAGAGATAGTATTTAAGCGCAAGAGATTGATGAACAGTAACAATTGATTAGCAAACGTGGGAAGAGAATAATGAAATGACAATCGAGAAGGATGGAACGATGGAATAACGAGTCAAGTGAAAGAACGAGATTGAAAGCGCGGGAGAGAAATAAATGGCTTTTTAACATTTATACATAATGAAACAAAATGGCATTCATATCGTTCTCTCATCGCAGAAATAGAAATATTAATGAATATACACAGTTAGTATTTAAACGCAAATGCGCCAACTCTAGCAGAGCGTGAAGAAGGACGCCGCAAGTTAACATTTTCAACGTATATTTTTTACGCATTTACAGGATGCGTTATATCTCCCAAAACGGTCTATCGACACCGGCAAATGATTTATATGCTGCCGGCTGGAATTTTGATTTGTCCAGCGATTTGTTTCGCTGCAAAGGTTTGAAACGGAACACCACGTATATTCCACGCACGTACAAGAGTTTTATAATGTCATCAAGGATATAGTCACGCACGCTGGCGAGGATGAAGCCGCAAATTCATGCAAACCGCAAAATATGATCGCAGAGCCGGCCTCGGACTGATAAAGCGATAGGCTATGATGCTCGCGGCATATTACAATGCGCGCTATTAATATCTTCAGTTAGGAAAACTTCAGTTAGGGTCGCTTTTGCGAAATAATAAAATTATTTCAGCGCATATACGCGGCTCATTACGTTCATTGTAAATAGATCTTCGCGAAAGGCACGTTATGGCAGTGTATTCCTTGAAAATATAATTTATTCATAATTAATTATTTTATTGCAATTAGTATATGGTTGAGGTGAAAATAATTAAAGCAACGAGCCTGTGGAGCCTGATAAAAACGTCTTTTTTATACAAAGAGTATATGTATCTCTCTGTTATGTATAACACGACAAAGTAGCATACGAGAGACAACAACTGTGTGGATTGACACCATCGTGGATCAAAGCATCTTGCTTTATACCAATGTGAGGAAACGGTAATAACAAGAAAGGGACCACAATTTCTGCTCGCTCGCTGCGTTCCGCGGCGATATTGCAGTATCCACCTGGCAGGATCAATACGCACCGAGTTACGTAGTAGAACTTGTGTCAGCAAGTGTAACAAGAAAGTAGAAGTGCGCGCAATAAAGTGTCGCCATTTGTACTGCGACATTGTAATTATATTAAGTCGACGAGATATATTTAAATTAGAACGTATATTCATAAGTTAAACGAATAAATATTATTGCAACATATATGCATTTATATATATATATATATATATTTGTTTATGATCATTTTTCCACATACGATGTATTTACATTATATGCGGAAAAATGATCATAAACAAATTGCAGCAATGACACGTTGCAAAAATGAGCTGCAAAGTTCATATCAGTAATGTATTTCGCTGGCTGTGGTCATATTTTACACGGGCTCATTAGTTTTACCCAGACTAATTAAAACAATTGTACACTGGTACAAATGCTCGCATGTGACAAGTCGATTTGCATATCTTAAAAATACTTTGAAGAAATTGGTGGTGGATATATTATATAAACGCGAGTTTTGGCGTAAGAAAGCATCATTATACAAGTTTCGTTGGAAAGAGTGGCAATTGCGTCGGATTATAGCAACAATGTTTAAAATTGCAAGCTGCATTCTCGTCGCTGCCTGCGTAAGTATTTCCATTTTTCATCACGAAACCATTGTATTCGTATAATCATAGAAATTGGGAAATTCTCAATAGTCCGCCACTTCGTGCTGTTTAGCTTCCGATGAAAATTACGGACAGAAATTTAGCTAGTTTCTATTTTTCACTTTGTATGAAAAAGACAATTTTACTGCGTTGAATTATGAATTATGTGCCCATTACTTTTGGCGATATTACATCTATTTGATCGATTGCAGATCAGCTTCCAACAACAAGCTGTTGTAGCTGCTTCTCTTCCGAATCCTTTGGGATCGTGGGGATCAAAGGGATTGCTGGGATCATTGGAATCGTTGTTAGACAACGCACAAAATAAAGTATCAGATGCACGAGATAACGCACTAGATAAAATATCAGATGCACGAGATAAAATATCAGGCGTACAAGATAACGTATTAGATCAAATATCAGACGCACAAGATAACGCACAAGATAAGTTATCGGATATAAAAGACAAATTTTCGGGTATATTCAAACGCGGAGATGAAGTCTTACAAGGTCTCGGGGGTGGCGTGACTAATATAGGCGAGAAACTCAACGATGGATTGGCTAACGAGGTGCAAAGGGTAAATATGCTTCTCGACTGTCTCACAAAGGAGGATGAAGTTGCAACATCAATGGAACTGAAATTCACGCATCGAGCATTTTTTTAAGCTACAATTACTCGTAAAAACGTGCATAGAATTGGAGTTTTTTTTTTTTTTTTTTATTAAACAGTATACATTGAATTATATTTTCAAAGTGCGGCATATGTGTTTAATTTATGCGTCAGTTGCAAATCGTTCGCTCACGCATATTGAGTAGTGCACGAAAAGCCTCGGCGACAAGTCCGTTACCGATAAGCGTAGATACCACTCATAAAAATATGCGCATGAAATAACGGCGACGGCAGGTAAAGGAATGAATTATCCGTCTGCCGCGAGTTTCATTATTTCGTCGTGTGTTGCGTAACCTACTAGAATAAATTTACACCTCCAAGCCAAGTGGTGCCGAGTCCATTTCATCGTTGACACTTCGGACAAGACACTAAACGCTTTCCCATATCCTACTTTGTTTATCGCGTGATGCTATGCTTTCATCTTTCGATTTTGCCCGAGAGATGTGAATTTTTATGAAATGCAACTGCGAACTCGTGATATTAACCCTTTCAAAAATGCATATCAACAGCTCCAGGAGAAGGCAAAACAATTCCTGGAAGAGGCTCAGGACGCCAATATTTCGTCATGTAATAGGCTGTACAAGAAAGGACGTGCTGCTCTCGCTGAACTGGTGTCAATGTTTGATTCCTGTGTATTAAAACAAATGCAACAGACCGGCGGACAAATTCAAGATCTCGTTAATGTAATAAGCGATCTACAGAAGAATTTATCGAATCAATTGCAGGATGTAACGCAATGCTTCAAAAGTACTTCTAATTTCGGCGCGTGTTTCTCTCAGGTACGTATATATATGTGTGTGTGTGTGTCCAATCTATTTCAAATTAATATAAAAATCTATATTTGTATATATTCTTTTTAATTACTGAATTCTTCGTAACAGCACAAATCTTTCTGTTATTTAGAAAAATCTCCCATTGAGGCATCGAAAATATTACATAGATCGGTCGGATTAAGATTATCAGAGAATTTTTCAGAACATGTATATTTAACATATGCATTTTTTCAGACATTACAAAGCTTTTATAAACTGGGACTCACGGTCGAGAAAATTATCCGCATAGCTATTCAATTCTACACGTTCGTTCCAAGTTTGAAGTTTTGTTGTCAGACGTCAATTGTCAAATTTGCAACAAAAAATATGTTCGGACTTCTTAAAGACGTCGGATCGTGCGTTCAAAGCACCGTCAGAAATATTCAATGAGTCGTTCATCGGCTAATATGATTCCCATTTATTGTTACACGTACATATTATTACTATTATGAGTTACCCGATACGAAGTTCCTACTTCTTCCACACCATGCAAAACGGCACACGCAGGTATATATCAAGCGCACTAAAATTCAATAAATATTAAATTAATAATATCTCGCCGTCTTTTTACCTTCCAAAATAATTTAGAAAGCAAACCGCGGAGAGAGGTAAAAGGTATAAAATTGTAACGTGTACACTATGAGCGCGACTTATTAATTGAACTTTATGATTCGCGCGTTGTAAAATTTCCGTTGGTCCTTAAAAAACACACGCTCGTGCATCGATAGAAATAAGTTTCCTTTTTAAAGAGGGGATTTATCATCAGTGAAAACGACAAAACAATGTTTAAGATGGAAAAAATTGTAATAATATACAGTAATTCGGTAAATAGAAAATTTCAGCTTTTTAAATATGAAACGACGTGAGCATAACCGATCGATAAGCAGGAATCTGAACCGTAGATGTTGGGACAAGAATATTAGACTCCGATGAAAGGAAGTCGTGCGTCAGAGAGTGCGTGAGGAAGAAGTCTGGGGAAAAAGCGCGGTGATTCTGAACATCACGTATAATGGTCCGAAATGATCGGATGGGCGCGGCCCCACGTGCGCGTATACGCGGCGCGACGTACAAAATCGTCGTTATGAGAAGCGGGCGAGAGGAACCGATCAATGTCACCATTGAACCACAACGTTCACATTGCCGGAGTTACAGGAGACTGCACAATAATCGGTCGATGAAAGAGACGTTGTTTGCTCATGTTAACCGTGTTCACGCCGATCGGAAGGTACCTGTCTCATATTGTCCCGAAATTATCGTCAAAATGTATCCCTCGTCGGACAATAGCGACGGAACAATTTACGTCTCGTTCGGTAATATCGTCACTCCGATCGCTCACGAAGAATACCGCGATCGGACGACAGTGTCCGCGTGCCGAAGCAGGTGAATCAGAGATCGCTGCTCCCAGCGCCGCGCGATTACTCGTCGTGTAACTGAGTGTAACCGTAATAATTATAATGAAATCATTCGGGCCGCGGCGCATAAAAAGCAGGAAAAGAAGTATCAGTCATGTGTGCGTCATGGTGAGCGCGTGACATCACTCGGAGGGTAAAGGACAATCTTGAAATTGAACAGGCGTGCTTTATTGCGCACTTAACGATTATCGGAGAATTGTAACATACATGTAAGATTACATTCCCGGTGCAAGGTTAAATGTGCCATCGAGGCGCAACATCAAGATACACTCGATCGTCGCATGGATCGTATTTAACGTTTAATTAATATATCGTCAGCTTCGAAGTAGATTTCTTCGTCGGAACGTCTCGAGGGTCTCTTAACTTCGGCGAGTTTCGATGTTTGCTTCGAATGTTTTTCCAAGCGCCACCATTCGCCGCTGCACAAGCAAACAATTTCGCATGGCTATATAGCGATATATAATAAAGCAATCGCGGACAAAGCGCTTTGTCAACAAAGTTGCCGGAGGAACTGGCAACAAAGCGTGGCGCGTGAATCAAGTTCATCAACCTCTCGTGTTTCGAGTCCGCGTCTTCGTCGTCGTCGTCGTCGCAACGTCTGCCCGTGATCAAACCTATTTGCACCGTGTCGTATGGAACGAACGGTTGCTGGTAATGCAGCGTGAGTACGCCTCTCGCCACCTGCTTATTAACGCCTCCGAATGCGAACAAACGCGGTAAATCTACAAGCGCGAAAGATACCCGAGAAAGGACGTAAAAACAGCACTGGGTAATTAAAGCGTGGGTAATGGAAGTGTTCATATTTTTCCTCGACGTCAAGGTCCGACCAATTCTCTCTCTCTCTCTCTCTCTCTCTCTCTCCCCCTCTTCTCTCGTTTTCCGAGCCACAGTATCGCCGCGTTCGTCGACTCGTTTTCTCAAATACGGCCGGTAACCCCCCGAAGAGAAGACGCTTCGTGATGACGAAAAAAAATGCCGTCTCAGACGGCGCACTCGCGGTCGAGAGCCCTTTGGGGCCGCGCGTGTCTTTCGTCAGAGGCTATATACCAGCACATTTTTTTGTCTTGCTCTCTTCAGCGACAGGACAACGAACCACGGTCGTTCCACGGTAAAACCATCTCTCCCTCCTGAAACGACGCTTATTCGCGCTTTTATACAGCTCGGCGCACGATGTTTCGCGACATTTACCTTCCACGAGCGGTAAATCATCCCCGGTGCAAATTGGAAGAAGTCCGCTCGATCTCAGGCTTCGCGTCCCAGACCGGGAACAGACAGGTGACTTTTCGCGAGAGACGTGAAGGGTAATAAAGTCGAAAAATGCGCGAGCTCCGAAGTGCCAAGTACCGCGTCTCCTTAGATTTATCGGTATTTCGCACGCGCGACCCGAGGCAGATTGCAAGCCGCCGGGGGGCTTTTACAGGGTTGACGATACGATCGTTCCTCACTTTATGCGCACGAACAATTAAACCGCGCTCGGCTGGAAGAAACACTAATCTTATTTTTCCCCAGCCTGAGCAAATGCTGTCGCTGTGTACATTAAAACGAAGCACCCTGTATATCGTGCGCGCGCGCGCGCACGAGAATTTTACGATACTACCAGGAACAGTCGTGGACGAGGATGAGACCGCAAATTCATGCAAACCGCAAAATATGGTTGCGGAGCTGGCATAGAGCTGATAAAACGAAAGTCTAATGGCCTTCTCTCTCTCTCTCTCTCTCTTCATACGAACGTCCTAACTTTAAACTTCAGCCCGGCGGTAAAACTTAATACGCGAGACAGAATCAACCGGCGAAATATCTCATGTGGAAACTCGAAACGTGAAAGAAAGCGACCAAGCAAATTTGCACACTCGACAAGTCGGATACTTATCTCCAAATTGCGGTCGACATCGCGTAACCACGTCCGACTTTTTATCGAATAAGAATTATTCCGCGCACGGGGGATGCGATTGGCGTCAGAAAGCTATCGCGAAGAAGGAGATTAATGACTCACTCCGACGGGGGCAAATCGTTTCCCGAATAACGGCTGAATTTCCATTTATCCAACCATTCGTTCGGCTTAACTTATAGTCAGGTCTACAGTTAGAATCGATACGTCGTGCTCTAATCCGAAGATTGTTGGCAGTTACCGAAACCTCGCACGATATTTCAGGGATCGTTCCGCCTCTCGTCTCCGACGAGATGATCCACCGCCTAGGGTGGCTCAGAGTATCAATAACGGTTGATACTTCGAGATAGTTCCGCGTCTGTCGTTTTCCGTGGGGATCACCCGGTATCCCAATATTTCCTATATCCGAGCATTCGGCTCCGAGACCACCCACCCACCTGCGTGGGCGACGACGGATTCGAGAAACAGAGAACGGGGAATAACCGGAGGGTAAGGAGAGAAAATTGCCGATGTAGCTGTCCGGAGGAAAATACGTTCCCCCGTTGTCGCGGGACAATACAGGCGCAGGGGTTCAACAACGCGTATCCGAGATGCCCTGACGAGTTTCATCAACAGCAGCGGCGGGCAGGAGCGCGTGTCTTGCGTTACGATCAAAGGATGGTGGCGAGATGAGAAAACGGCAGGAAAAAGGAGCACCGCAGGTGGCGGAGCTACCTCTCCCCGTTCCCCTCGAGCCCCCAGCCGGCGATCTCGTGGTGTATTCACCCGCCGGCGTCGCGCGTGTTCTCCGAAAATCAATACGCGCCATGTATCAAGACGGATCATCCGTCGGCGAGCCTAAGGTGAAAATATAGATCCGCGCAATAAGGGACGATGGCTGGAGATCGGCTGCGCGACGACGTCGTTAAAGTCTCTCAGGCTCCCCTCCTCCCCCCTGCCGAGCGCGAACAGGTTCCGATTCCTCCGGGAATGACCGCCTCTCCCTGCAATTAGACCGAATCATTCGACAACCGCGATTTTACCGGAGAGGCTCCTTTCGCGTTCGCGAAGGAGATCCCCCGCGTTGACGTTTCTTTCAATAGAACAGCCGATAACGCCGACCCGACTCCGATAGCTGGCGCGAAGCCGATTACGCGGCCTCCCGAAATTACAGCGGCGAGTCGACGAGCGTGAACGTTGCTAACCCAGTTTTAACACTCCGGGCTGGAAAATTGGAAGGGAACAAAGGGATCGCGCACGTGCCGGGATGCGGCGGTGTGTGTTTTCATCTCATTTCGGGAGCTGCCAGCTCGCCCGGTCTCCGTCGCGGCGGCGGCGTGTTTGTGCAATCTGTAAATGCGACTGTTCGATTGGCAAATAAAGGGGACGCAACGAATGTGATAATACGTTCGCGTAATACGTCACTTTCAACGGATAAAGCACGAATGACGGGACACGATGAGGAAGCTGGAGGCGAAACGCATCGTCAGCCGAATTGTCAAGCGAGCGCAAAACACGCGGACGCCTCACCGCCGCGGACATTTCAATTTCGACAGGCTCACGAAAACACGGTGATCCGCGGTATTGAAAAACACAGATAGCTGATATACAACGAGCATATATTTCAATCCCGGAAGATGACCAGCAGGCGTTTCGCTGCAATTTGTACGATCCGCTGTGACGTGTTCACGCTCTCGGCTTATCATCGTTTACGAGACCTTATCTGTCAGGAATTCCATCCCACATCTCGTCAAAACCGACGTGCGAAACGCGTCGTGTATTCACAGGAACGGTGAGCATTATTTGTACAGAAAAACGTAATCTTATATAAATCAACGATAGACATTCTCATATATAAGCAAGAATATTATAATATTCTTAGAAGATTTTTAGTCTTGAGTGCAAGTAATACTTGCATTGATACAAATTCAATCAAATCAAGACTAAAAGCCTTCAAAGAAAATTATAATAGTTCACAGTACAAATAATAACATAATAAATTGCATATTTGAAAACCTTACCGACGGAATACTGATTTTTGTCCACAAAGTTTTTGCAAATTTATTTGATAATACTCTTACTTATATATACATGAAAATGTCTATCATTGATTTAAGACTATTTTTTTCCCGTGTTCAATGCGTCCAATTTACCGGCAGCTGGTTCTTCCATAAATTGCTCACGAGATTTACGACATCGCACCCATGTATCGGACGCTTCGTCGTAAATTTTAGAGCAAGCAAAAGGTGCACCGAAAATATTCAGGACTGCTGTT